TATATATATATATATATATATATATATATATATATATATATATATATATATATATATATATACACACAAATATAACAAAGGCAACAGTAAAAATATTGGGTTTCTGTTGCAAGTCGAGGGCTAACTGTACTGTCATAACTTGAGGACTATCTACAATTCACGTGATTGAGCAAGGAGCCAGATCAATTCACTTTTCTCCCAAACTGTTGACATTTGACTGACTGGAACCCCATCCTTCATTCAATTCAATCGTTTCTTGTGTTTTTATTCTAGGATTTGGATGTTCAAAGCAAACCACTTACCCTGAGATTTGAGAATATTATTGCCCTAATGTTGAAAGATTTTCCCCAAATACCTGAGCAACAATCTCAATTCTGTGAGATAAATTCCCCTACTTTGACCCCCGATATGGCTTCTCCAAAAAAGGAAAACTTTGTTAGCATTTCTTTTTTCCCCATCGTTGCTAGATTTCGGGAGAAAGTGGAAGAAATAACCAGCAAAAGGAATATATTTGAAGTTCAAAGTAATTTCTTCATGGGGGCTTGCATTTTTAATCCAATAACAGGGGAGCAATTGTTGGCAAACCCTCTTGTAAATTTATTCTTACACTCATGTAAGAAATGAAAATGTGGAGAAAAGAAATGTGAGGCTCATGAATTTAATTCAATGTCTCTTTTGATGTAAACATACGTGCACAAATAATTCAATTTACTATTTCAAGTAAATGAGCTTCCTTGCTAACAATTTCCTTTTTTAAAAAAATGTTTGTCAGTTATGCTTGGAAATCGTTGCTAGTCTATACTATTTGGGATTGTGTAAAATTGTAAGAATTGTATATAAAACAACAGTGCAAACCGATTTGTGATGTGTTTGGTTTCCAGTTTTTGCCGAGTTCTGTTTTCGTTCAATGTTCCATAGGCAGCTTTTTCATGCAGATATCATAGATCCGTATAACTATATAACCCAGATGCCAAATAGATTAACAATTGCATTAACAGCCAGTTATAAGAATTCTAGATTTTGTTTTGTACTGTATTTAATTTGTTTTACTACGGCTTGCTTTGAGCATTGTATGTGCTAAGGAAGCATGTAAATAAAAATTATTTAGCTGTGCCTCTGGATTCTGCTGTCTTTATTTTTTTCCTCTTAAACAGAAGGATGGTGGTTCAAAAAGCTGTGCAATTTGCACATCTGTGACCCAGAGGTGGTATTCAGACGGTTCTGACCGGTTCTGGGGAACTGGTAGCAGAAATTTTGAGCACCGTATTTTTTTGGAGCATAAGACGCACCTTTCCCCCCAAATAAGAGAGTGAAAATCTGGGTGCGTCTTATACACTGAATACAGCATTTTTGGCCTCCTGAAACCCTGTCCCCTTTGCAAAAATGGCTGTGAATAGCCTTTAGGAGGCTTCCAGAGTGCTCCTGTGGGCTGGGGAGGGCAAAAATGAGAAAAACCAGCCGAATTTTGNGGGGGGGGCGCGCTGGGAAATGCAGCGGCGGAGCAGCAGGTGGTGCTGCCGCTCAGCCGCAGGAGCGAGCGCGGGGGTCCGCAGCCGCCATTAGACAATAGGAGCGGCGGCGGCGGCGGCGGTGGTAGCAGCAGCGGGCGAGAGAAGCGCGGGCGAGGCCCGGGGAAACTGCGCCGCTTTGCCCTTCCCGTCCTTCCGGCCTTTGCAAAGAAGGGAAAAGCCCGCCCAGGCCCTCAAAGCAGCAGCAGCCGCCGCAACCGGGGCCTCCCCGCTTTTGCAATCACCGCCCGCCGCTGCTTTCTCCCGGCCGGGATTCCGTGGGAGGCGGCAGCACCAGCTCCGGCTCTCGGCGGGATTTAGCCCCACAAAGGCCCCTCGGGTGCGAAGTCCTCGGCCGCCTTTGCCCGCTCGGGGGTAGGGGGGCGGCTTGCAGGCGGGTGCAGCGGCCGGCTGCCTGCCTCCGGCTCGGCTGCCCGATTGGCATGATGTTTCCGCAAAGCCGGCACTCAGTAAGAGGAGGGGGAGGAAGAGGAGGAGGGGAAGAGGAGGAGGAAGAGGAGGAGGGGGAGCAAGAAGAGGAAGAGGGGGAGGAGGGGGAGGAGGAGAAAGAGTTCAGGTTCCTTGGTGTTTTCTTGGCTGTTTTCTTGCAGGCGTTTCATGACCCAGCTAGGTAACATCATCAGTGTCAGAAGAGAGGGAAGTCATCTCGAAGGACATCATGGTTGAGGATTGGTGGGACTGAAAGCTCCTGGCTTGGATGATCTGCTTTGTACTTTGTGAAGTGCCTCCTTGCGTGGAGGGCGAGTGGTTGGTTTGGGTTCGAAGAAGAGCGTTTCTCAACCGGGGCCCCTTGAAGAGGGCTGGACTTCCACTCCCAGAAGTCTGGCTGGGGAATTCTGGGCCAATTTTGAGCCCCACTGGCTGAGTGACAGCGATGCCTTGCAGCTCCCTTATTGGCTAGTCTGGGGTTTCTCAGCCCCCCCCCCCCGAGTAACTACCCAGGTGCTAATCGATCAAATAAATGAGGAGGAACATTTATTTTGCCCCGTGCACATTTTGAGCGAGGGAAAAAGAACAATTTCCTTTGCTTCAAGGGTGCATCCCAGAGCACAGACGCTCCCCCCTTCAGTAGCATCGGAGGCACCTGAAAAATTAAGGAAAAAAATGCATTTTTAAGAGCAGAATCTAGTCAAGAAAAAGGAGGAGGAGAATATGGCATCGGACTCGCTCGCCTCCAGGCATTCTCTCTGACTTTGGAATAGAATAATAAAACCTCAATTCCAAGGGAGCCGAGAAAGATGAAAACAGCTGACTCTTGAAAAGGCACCGGCATTTCTTAAAATACCTCAAGAAGGTTCGCCCGTTTCCCACAAAAACTAATTTGCAGGAAAAAAAAAGTTTGAGCCCTCTCTCCCTTCCCTTACAGTTAGTCCTCGGCATACGACCAACCATGCTGTCATTAAGCGAGACATCACAGGAAGGCGACTTGCGACCTTCCCTTCCAGCTTCCCCATTGACACACGGCTGTGTTAAAAGAAAAAAGGTCTCAACATTCTGAAGAGTGGTAACACATCTTACATACAGATTAATAGTTGGAAGGGACCTTGTGGGTCATCTAGTCCAACCCCCTGCCCAAGCAGGAGACCCTACACCATTTCTGACAGATGGCAGTCCA